GGGTTCTCCATTGTCTGCATGTTCTCTACCCCACCAGTCTGTGAGCTCCAGGAGAGCAGGGGATGTTCCTTGTATCTCTTTAGGTCCCTTGTGCTTAGCAGAGGGTCTGGCATATCGCAGGCATTGAATAAATACTCATTGACTTGAAGGAGGTCTAAGGAAAAGCCCATATTGGAAAGCCTAACCCATTTTTGCACTTTCAGGGGAGTTCCTGCCTACACATTCTAAACAAGGTCTCTTTACCAGATCACATATTTATGACTGGAAGACAGCTTAAATGCCATGGTGTCTAATTCCCTCATTCTGCACATGGGGAGACTAATGCTCAGAGATTCCTTGACTTGTCCAGGATCCCACTGCTAATAAGTGTTTAAAAAAGAATTCCAAGTCAGGTCTTTCAGGCTCCAAACCTAGCACTTGCTTCACCTCCACACCTAGAAGCCTCTTGTCATCACAGCTCTCATACACATCCTGATTCACCTCACTCACCTGGACAGCAGCTCCTCAGGCCTTCTTGCTGCAGCAGCCATGGTGCTTCCCTTTCTTCCAAATAAGAGATCAAATCTTCTCTGGGAACTGGCAGTCCTGGGCATGGGGAATCAGGGATAAGGATGGAGAAAAACTAGTAATTCAGCTTCCTTTAGGGAAAAAAAGTGTGCATACAAAGCCGCTGCATTTGGAGAATCACTCCATCAAGTTCACACTGATTATCATTTAAGATCAATTAAGCCCCAATAAGGGCCAAAAAAACCTGAATTAATCTTTTTCTCTCTGAGTGAACTAAAAACACCCCTTCCTGTGTCAGCAAATTCCAGGAACAGATAGAACTGATCAACTAAGCCCAGGATGTCTGGGACCAGATACTCTCTTGAATAATGGGACTTTTCTTATCTTGAGTTTCTATTGACACTTTGACATTCTTCTGTTTTATTGTATTTACAACCTTATTAAATTCAGAAAATTCCTTTCCCATGGTATATGTTAAACAAACATATGGAGGCTGTATTTTTTGTAACACAGACATCCTGAGTCTGATCACTCTAAACTGTATAAAACCTCTCTCATTTTGCTTAATCTCCGAGTCAGAATCACATTCTGGCTTCCATGTTGACATGATTCGCTAGCTAAAAGGCAATAAACTATAGAATCATGTATCACCTAACTTGTTTGCCTTCTTTAACCAAACTTTCAGGTTAACAACACATATCTGGCTTCTTCTCCCATTAATGTTTGTAATGCCAGTAACCCAAAATAGGATGTGCCAGATTAGCCTTTAGCTCCAGCAAAAGGGACCCTGATGAACTAGCTTTGGGCCTGTCCCCTACCCTACTCCTCACTCACTGAAACCTATAAACACCTTGTTACTGTTCATTCCGGGAGTCTTTGCCTCCTCTGGTGAGATTCTCCTGCTGGGGAAGTCAATGAACCTTAGCGCAAATTCTGACTCTTGGGCAGTCTGTTATTCCTGCCATTGACAGGGGCTTGCAAGCAAGGACCGCAGGAGGGTTTCCAGAACTACTTAAGCAAGGATTCCACAGCATTTATTTTTGGGAGCTTTGGGGAGTGGGGGAGAAGATCATGGACCGAATTAGGAATGAGAAATTTGGTCTTGGGAAATCTCCAAAGAAGGATGGACTCACTGCAAAGTTTCCATTATCTAGAAATTAGAGGCAGCTGGGAGTACAGTGGAGAGAGCCCTGGGCCTGGAGTCAGGGATGGCAGGGTGAACCTGCCATATCAGGCACATGTAGGACCTGTGAGCTATAAATTGAAGCTTCTTAAAAAGAATGTCCCATACAGTAGGGCCATCCCAAAGAGGAAGGGGTCGCAAGGAAAAGCCTCCTGAGCAGTTTTCAGACACTTCCCAGACAAAATTCATGTCCAGGGAGAGGCTGGACTGCATAATGTGAGATTACTTCCACATCTGAGAGGCTTCAACACTGATCTAACCTTTAACTTCAAGCTACCTAGAACTGGCAAGAGACAGCTTTAGAAGCAACCAGGAACCTCCCTGTTTTTCTTCACTCAATGTACTGACATTTTATAGGAAAATCAGGCAGCCGGGGACCCTGTCTCTTGGACACAGGAGACCAGCACTTTACCCTTTTCGTAACTGATAAATGCTCTAAACCCAGGACATTCAGAAATGAAGACATTCCCTTGGATTGCAGTCTCAGAGTGGCCAGGGGAAGTGTCCTTACCCAGGGAGAGCAGGTTCTGGGCATTCTCCAACATGACCTCCTTGTATAATTCCTTCTGGGGATGGTCCAAGAGACCCCACTCCTCTGGGGTAAAGTCCACAGCCACATCCTTGAATGTCACCAGCTCCTAAACCAACAAAAGTCACAAGATTTAGAGCTGAGACTCCAGGATTCCTGTAGTCTAACCCCATCATGTGAGAGGTGGAAACTGAAGCACAGGAAGGGGATTTACCCAAAGGTGGCACCCTTGAGAAGTGTCACAGTCAACACTTGAAAGCATCATTATAAAGAGCCCAATGGGCTTAATACTAAGAAAAGCATTTGACATGGTGAGTTGGAATGAAGTTGAGAAAGGTCTTACTATGGAGTGTGTCTCCCTATGGAATGTAGACAAAAGTTTGTATTCTACCTGTGAGGGAGGAGGTTCTCTGGTAGAGACAGACAGAAGATGATCTGCAATTTCTATCTTCTCAGAACTGCCAGACGTGATTTGTTATAAAGAAAATTCTGTGGGAAGCTTCTAAGAAGCTGGCAAGTACAGTGTATTCGGTGGGGCTTCATGAATTTATGTGTTATTACAGAAGAGAGGAAAGAAAAAGAACAGATCTAGTTTAGTTCCTGAGAGGCTGACACATAGTTTTATCTAGATAAAACATGAAAAGAATTCTAGAGACTTAGCAATTACAATCTGGACTGAACTAAAAGCTATGACACTTTCTGGCCAAGGGAAGAAGAGTTATGTGTTGTTACAAGGGGCTCAAGGCTGCTGTGGGTACGATGTGTCATGGCCAAAACATGTTATGCTTTCACTTTATGATTGTTTCATTTGTCAATAGCATATTTCTTTATTATAATATTTAGTTACACAGTTGGTCATTTGTGTTGTTCCTTCTGCTCCAAGTGAATCAAAATGACATCTCTATGTCAGGGTTAAGGTATAGTGTCTCTGACCATGGATGATCAGACTAATAAAGCCCAGAAGGCTGCACCACAGATTGGGCACAAATACTCCATGTGAACATTTGGGGTAGAGATGGCTCTGAATTTGCATATCTCACCGTTATTTTGAGCCACTGCCATTCTGCTTTGCTCACACGGCACAGCACATTCTTTCACGCGGGCACAACATGCTGAGTGGTCCTTTGCCAATGTGTCCCATGACTCACAATTGATACAAAGTTCTTCAGACAGACCTTGGGAATGTCCTTTTATCACTTCTTCTGACCACGTTGTGAGTGCCTTCTTTGCATGACGTCTCTGTAAAACAGTCTTTTGGGCAAACACTCTTTTGGCATTTGAACAACGCAGCCAGTGCATCAGAGATGTACTGTCTGCAGTAGAGTGTGAATGCTTGGCAGTCTAATTTATGGGAAGGCCCTCAGTGTTCAGTACTTTATCTTGCCAGGAGATCCTCAGAATCTTCCTAAGATAATCCACACAGAAGATATTCAGTTTCCTGGCATGGCACTGGTATACTGTCCAGGTTTCACAGGCATACAACAATGGGGTCAGCACAAGAGCTCTGTAGGCCTTCAGTGTGGTATGCACTTTAACACCTCTTGTCTCCCACACTTGTCTTGGCAGCCTCCCAAGCAATGAGCTATCTCTGGTGAAGCAGGTGGTCAACTCTTAAAATTAGTTATCTCCCATGGGAAATAATCTGAAGTACAAAATTTGCCAGTAAATAATGATTTAATTCTAACAGTTTACATGTTACCTTTAAGTAAGGTCAACTAATTTCTCAGCAATTTTTGACAAAGGTGTGATTTACAGAGCTTACTTTTATTACAGAAGAAAAAGAAAAAAATTACAACAACCTTAGAAACATGTTTTGAATAAAATTCAACTGGACAAGGCAGGTCATCTGACTGTTTGTCCCTCCTGGATTTTCTTGATCCAGACTCATCTCAGGTCTATCAACCTGTCCATCAAAATGAGAAAACCTCAGAAGTCCTTGCTCTGCAGCTGATGAGTTTGGCAACCAAAAGTATTACTTTAAAGGAGCAAATAGTTTGAAGAAAGACTGGAAAAGAACAAGTTGTGGTTTGTAGACAGCAGTCATACCCCAACCACCAGCTGCCAGAAAGGGAAACCCAACCTTAGAAAATCACACTGCTCAATGTAGACTTAACCTCCACCTGAAGAAAAAAATTAAAAGGAGCTAATCCACCAAGACTGGAAAGAGGAACTTAGGGTATTGTTAACCTCTTTCCTGCTGCAGCTAGAAAGGGGAATTTAGCTTTTGACAAGTCTTACAATCCCATGATTATTTTAGTCCTACAACAATATGTGTCTTACTCTAAATTATCTATGACTAAATGATAAAGCCTTACAAATCTGTGTATTCACTAAATCTACAGATAACCTAGATTCAGGAGAATATCTATGTTAGCCTGGTTTCACTGTGAGGTCCAGCTTTTCCCAAAGACGGGAACCTAATGCTACAATCAAACTAAAAGTAAACCAAAGTAATTAAACAGTAACTCATTTAAAGGCCATTTCTTTTCACAACCTCATCACCTCTGTGTACATGCTAGAAAGTGTACTGTCAAAGTAAGTGAACTCATTCAGAAGATTCAAAATTTCTACATTTGCACCAATAGATGGTGCCATGCTGAACGGTGTAGAACCTCCACTTTGTCTTTTTTTACATATTTCACAATATATTTTCTCCCAGTGACATGTTAAATTTTTTTAATGTTTTTTAAAGTTTTGAGTTCCAAATTCTATCCCTCTTTCCTTCCCCCTACCTAAGACAGTAAGCAATCAGATACGTTATACATGTACTATCATGTAGAGTATTTCCATATTAATCATTTTGTGAAGGAAGATTTGAAAACAAAAAAGAAAAATAATGAAAGTGAAAAATATCATGCTTCAGTCTCCACGAAAATAACATCAGTTCTTTCTCTGCAGGTAGATAAGATGCTTCATCATTAGTCCTTTCTAGTTTTTTTGGATCACTGTATTGCTGAGAATAACTAAATTATTCATAGTTGTTCACTGAACATGTCAAGCTAGCTTGAGGGGAAATTAACCAGAGGACATACATACCCCAATTTTCTTTGTCTCTTTTTTAGAACAATATGTTTCAATTTGGGGTTCATAGGGGCTCAGGGTTCACAATATAAAAAACACTTTATCCATTTATCTGTTTGATCCTATAGACTGATTGCATTCAGACAGCACAATAGCATAATTCTGATATAAACTGACATAATTCTGATATAAAGGATATAAACATGCAGCTCTGATATACAGAATGATTGGTCCTGCACTTGAAAGCCTTTCCACACTGATTATATTCATAAGGTTTGTATAGTGTGGATTCTCTGATGTAGACTAAGATCACTTTTACACCTTAAAGCCTTTCCACACTAATTACATTCATAAGCTTTCTCTCCAGTGTGGATTCTCTGATTTTTAATAAGGTTGGAGCTCTGTGTGAAAGCCTTTCCACACCGATTAAATTCATAAGGTTTCTCTCCAGTGTGGATTTTCTCATGTACAGCTAGTTCCCAGTTTAGTCAGAAAGCTTTCCCACATTGATCACATTCATATGGTTTCTCTCCAGTGAGGACTCTCTGATGTAGACTAAGATCATTTTTATATCTGACTTTCCACACTAATTACATTCATAACGTTTCTCTCCAGTGTGCTTTTTCTGATGTAGACTAAGATCACTTTTATACCTGAAAGACTTACCACACTGATTACATTCATAAGGTCTCTCTCCAGTGTGGAGTCTTTGATGTACACTACGGTAGCTTTTACACGTGAAAGCCTTACCACACTGATTACATTCATAAGGTTTCTCTCCAGTGTGGATTCTTTGATGTTTAACAAGGCTGGACCTCACTGTGAAAGTCTTTTCACACTGATTACATTTATAAGGTTTCTCTCCAGTGTGGATTCTCTGATGTCGAGTAAGATGGCTTTTACACCTGAAAGCCTTTCCACACTGATTACATTCATAAGGGTTTTCTCCAGTGTGGAGTCTTTGATGTAGAGTAAGATAGCTTTTACACCTGAAAGCAGTACCACACTGATTACACTCATAAGGTTTCTCTCCAGTGTGGATACTCTGATGAACACTAAGGTTACTTTTACGCCTGAAAGCCTTTCCACACTGATTACATTCATAAGGTTTCTCTCCAGTGTGCTTTCTCTGATGTAGACTAAGTTTACTTTTAAATCTGAAAGCCTTTCCACACTGATTACATTCATAATGTTTCTCTCCAGTGTGAACTCTTTGATGTTTAATAAGGCTGGAGCTCTCTATGAAAGCCTTTGTGCACTGATTACATTCATAAGGTTTCTCTCCAGTGTGGATTCTCTGATGTTTAATAAGCTGGGAGTTCCGTATGAAAGCCTTTCCACATTGATTACATTCATAAGGTTTCTCTCCAGTGTGGATGCTTTGATGTTGAGTAAGTTTGGATTTGTGTATGAAAGACTTTCCACACTGATGACATTCATAAGGTTTCTCCCCAGTGTGGATGCTTTGATGTAGACTAAGGTAGCTTTTATTCGTGAAAGCCTTTCCACACTGATTACATTCATAAGTTTTCTTTCCAGCATGAACTCTTTGATGGTTAATAAGACTGGACCTCCATGTGAAAGTCTTTCCACACTGATGACATTCATAAGGTTTCTCTCCAGTGTGGTTTCTCTGATGTAGACTAAGTTCACTTTTATACCTGAAAGTCTTTCCACACTGATTACATTCATAAGGTTTCTCTCCAGTGTGAACTCTTAGATGTTTAGTAAGGCTGGAGCTCCCTGTGAAACCCTTTCCACACTGATGACATTCATAAGGTTTCTCTCCAGTGTGGTTTCTCTGATGTAGACTAAGTTCACTTTTATACCTGAAAGTCTTTCCACACTGATTACATTCACAAGGTTTCTCTCCAGCGTGGAGTCTTTGATGTAGACTAAGGTAGCTTTTACACCTGAAAGCCTTACCACACTGATTACATTCATAAGGTTTCTCCCCAGTGTGGAGGCTTTGATGTAGACTAAGGTAGCTTTTATACCTGAAAGCCTTTCCACACTGATTACATTCATAAGTTTTCTTTCCAGCATGAACTCTTTGATGGTTAATAAGGCTGGACCTCCGTGTGAAAGCCTTTCCACACCGATTACATGCATAAGGTTTCTCTCCAGTGTGAACTCTTAGATGTTTAGTAAGGCTGGAGCTCTCTGTGAAAGCCTTTCCACACTGATGACATTCATAAGGTTTCTCCCCAGTGTGGATGCTTTGATGTAGACTAAGGTAGCTTTTATTCGTGAAAGCCTTTCCACACTGATTACATTCATAAGTTTTCTTTCCAGCATGAACTCTTTGATGGTTAATAAGACTGGACCTCCATGTGAAAGTCTTTCCACACTGATGACATTCATAAGGTTTCTCTCCAGTGTGAACTCTTAGATGTTTAGTAAGGCTGGAGCTCCCTGTGAAACCCTTTCCACACTGATGACATTCATAAGGTTTCTCTCCAGTGTGGTTTCTCTGATGTAGACTAAGTTCACTTTTATACCTGAAAGTCTTTCCACACTGATTACATTCACAAGGTTTCTCTCCAGCGTGGAGTCTTTGATGTAGACTAAGATAGCTTTTACACCTGAAAGCCTTACCACACTGATTACATTCATAAGGTTTCTCCCCAGTGTGGAGGCTTTGATGTAGACTAAGGTAGCTTTTATACCTGAAAGCCTTTCCACACTGATTACATTCATAAGTTTTCTTTCCAGCATGAACTCTTTGATGGTTAATAAGGCTGGACCTCCGTGTGAAAGCCTTTCCACACTGATTACATGCATAAGGTTTCCTGCCAATGTGATGTCTTCCATGTATAATGAAGGCTGAGTGTTCAGAAAAAGTTTTACCACATTCAAGACACTCATGTAGTTTCACACTAGGATTAATTTTTTGAGGGTAAATAAGGGATGACTGTTGACTCAATGCTTTCCCACCACGCAGACAATCATAAGGTTTTTCTCCTCTGTGGATTCTGCGAAATGCAGCAGAGATTTGTTTCCCAGTGAAGTCATAACGACCATCCCTCACGAAACTTTCCTCGTGAGTTTCTTTCAAAGAAATGCTTAGCTTTGCAGTAGTCTCTTTCATTTCAGGTCTAATCTCTCCTTCTGTAAGAAACAGTAATACATACATAAAGACACATGTACACACATACATAATTATATTCCCTTCCCTCCACTGCCAGAAAGTAAATGACTGAGAAAGCAGGATCTACATCCTACCTCCCTAGTCTAAGAGAAAAGTCTGCAAAGTTCAATGGACAGAATCAATCATTTGAAAATTGCATTAGTTCACATCTGAGGGATGCTTCATTCACAAAGAGCTTCACACACAATCACACTGGATCCTCACAAAACCCTATGACACTGGAAGGACCAGCCTTAAGATTACATTTACAGCTCAGGCCATAAGCTGGGTGGGTGGCCTGCCTAACATCTATGCAGCTGAGGCTAGAACTCCAACCCTACAAGTAGGCATGCTCTGCCCATGGCACCAGATGGCCATTCTCTATGCACTTGCCTTTTTTTTTTTTAAGAAAAGTTATCTTACTGTTGTATGTTCACTTCTTCTCTCTTTAGGTCTTCCTATTCCCTGAGACACAACAACATACAAACTAGACCAATTAATACCCCTACAATGGGGCTATAAGTTCAAGTGAAAAGAAGAGTCAATCAATGTGGCAAACTTCACTGTAGCCTGGTTTTAAGAAACTGCCGCAGCCACTGCCAACTGTGAGCAAGCCCCACCCTGATCAGTGAGCATCCATCAACACTTGCCTAGAGCCCCCATCAGCAACAAGATTATGATTCACCGAAGGTTCACATGATAGATAGGTTTTATTTGCAATGAAAAACGTTTAAGTTTCAGTACATATATTTTTTTATTATTATTCTTCGGTAATTGGGGTTAAGTGACTCACCCATGTACACACAGCTAGTACGTGTCAAGTGTTTGGTCTGAGGCCACATTTCAACTGAGGTCCTCCTGACTTCAGGGCCACTGCTGTATCTACTGCACCACCTACCTGCCTCCAGTATATACATTTTAGTTAACAGTACTGTACACATAATAGATAACAGCACATAGGAAACATAACTTAACTGTTATATACACTGAGAAACTAAAAAATCCATGTGACTTAACTGATTGCAGTATTCACTTTACTGTGCTGCTCTAGAACAGAAACCACACTCTCTCTGAGGTGTGCCTGAAATTTTTCTCACTCTTGTTTTGACTTTGACTCTTTGCTCCCAAAACTGACCCTCCTCCCTAAACTGTTACTAGCCACACTCCTTGAGTGCCTCATATCCCATTGAAATACATGTCTCTTCATTCCCAAACACTCTCTTTTCCCTGAATGAGCTTACAGCGAGGCTCCTGATCTGTTGCTTCTTCTCAAACACCTCCATGTTTGTAGGCCATGTTGGCAGCTCCCTGAAAACAGGGACTGGCTTTTCCCTCTCCTACAGCTTAGGGCGATGTGTAGAAAACTGGAGGTGCTTCATCCAAGCTTACTAACTGATGACTTGGCCCAGGGCTGACACCAGGCCCCAGGCTCTACCACAAGCCTTGTATTCTGGTCTCTGTCTTAGCTGGCAAATGCAGGTTCTGGTTTCAGGCCTGTTTCTGACTCTTTTCTGCACTTTATCTGCTATACTGAGTGGCCTTTTTGTCTAGTGCTAACCATGTTGCAACCTGACCAGATCCACAGTGAAGATCACAGAGACTTCTTTCTAGGCTCCTGACTATCTTCTACTCCGGGACACCCGGGAGTTTCCACTTGCCACTACCCTAAACTGAGAGTGACTGTCAACTCAATGATTCTCCAACAATTGGCCAAAGATTGAGCCTCAGAGACCAGGGGCTGGACACAGGTTGATGGTTTATGTAAAGCATAGCCTTGCCTTGATTCTACTTTGTGACTACTTGGATACTTAGAACCAGGATTCCTGGGTCCACTTCACATTCAGGCTACGTAATCTCAGTGTGGCTCTCACTGTGGCAAGGCTATACTTTGACATCTCCCTGAATGACTCCTTTGGGGCATCTACATGGTGCAATGGATAGAGAACTGGTTAGAAAGACTTGGGTTCAAATCCAGCCACAGACACTTACTAGCTGTGTGACCTTGGGCAAGTCACTCAGGCCTGCTGGCCTCAGTTAACTCATGTACAAAATGAGCCTGAAAAGGAAATGGCACACCACTCCAGTATCTTTACCAAGAAAACCCCCAACTGGGCCATGAAGAGTCAGAAACAACTGAAATGACTGAACAATCACATGACTGACTCCCTGTTTCATTCAGCACAGCAGCTTTTCCACTTCTTTTTATTCTTCCCCAAGCCTCCCTTAATTCTTGCTCCCATTCTCTACACCCACCACTCACATCCTCAATAGGGATTTTTGCCTCATATTTCATTGAAAAAATTGGATACTTAACAAGAGCTATCTTATCTTCATCTCCCATAAATCAAGTGCTTTGTCTTCCTTTATGACACCAGTATCAGACAAAAGCTTCCTCCTTCTGCTTCCTAAAGGGAACTCCTTTCCATGGCTAAATCATCCCGTTCCATCACACCATCTTCAGGTATAATGCCTCTCCAGCACCGCCTGTTTTCACTACTTTTCAGTTTCTTCAACACCAATGTCTCCTTCCCTATTGTCACAAATAAAACCATTTCTTTCCAATCCTCAAAATATACTTGATCTATTCAGTCTAAGAGATATTTTCTAATTTTTCTTCCATGTCATGACTAAACAGCTGGACATGCCCATTTACAACTGGTGTCTCCAACTCCTTCCTTTTGCTTTCTCTGAAATACTCTGCAGTCTGGCTCCCAGTTGCATTTTTCAATGGAAACTCCTCTCCAAAATTACCAAAACTCTCAAATGTTGCTAAATTGACCGGTCTTTTCTTCATCCTGATCCTTTTTTTGACTTCTCTGTAGCCTTTGACACACTCAATCACCCTTTCCCCTCCTTCTCTCTGAGTTTTAGTGACACTCCTCTCCTGGTTCTGCTACTGTAGCCAAACTAAACTCATTCTTTTTCCCTCAGCCCTCCCCTCTTTCTACCTGCTTAAGGGTGTCGAAGAAATCATCTCAATAGGGCTGACTCAGAAATGAGCTGTCATGTACTCCCCACTGAGACTCAAACACTCACACTCCTGACCCCCATATTCAATCTGCTGCAAAGTCCTCTGATTCCATCTAGGTAACATCTCTCCCATTTACCCCCTTCTCTCCCAACACTGTCGCTATCTTGATTCAGGCTCCAATCACCTTATACCTGAGGTATTGCAAGAATCTGCTGCTTGGCCCAGCTGCCTCAAGTCTCTCCCCACCCCAGTCATTCTTCCACCCACTTCTAAAATTTCATCTTCCTAAAATCTTGACTGACCATGTCACCACGTTTCCACCACCCTGCTATATCTTCCTAGGAAAACAATCAAATATAAAATCCTCTCTAGGGCTGTTAATCAACTACCCCTTCTTTACCTACACCTCTCCCACTCTTCCAGTCTTCTTTCACCTTAAATCTCCACCAAACACTCTGTACTCCAGTGCCATGGGCCTCCCTTCTCTTCTGTGAACAGGACACACCATCACCTGACTCTACAGACTGTCCTCACCATCCTGTGCCTAGAATGCTCACCCTGGCTTACCTGAAGCCTCAGCTAGAGCCCACATTCCACAATAAGCCTTTCCAGTGTCCCTAGGTCAATGAGCTCCTCTCCATAGAATAATTCTACATAGTTGTTGGTATGTCATCTGTCCCAACCTCCTCCCGCCCCAGTTTCTGAGCTCCAGGACAGCAGGGGATGTTCTTTGTGTCTCTTTATATCTTGGATTCTTAGCAGAGGGTATGGCACATAGCTGGCACTTAAGAAATGTTCATTGACTTGAAGAAAGTCTAAGAAAGAATTCAAATTGGAAAGCCTAACCCCTTTTTGCATTTTCAGAAGAATCCCTGCCTGCAAATTCTGAACAATGAGTTTTTATAGGATTACAGATTTATCACTGGTAGATAGCATAAAGTGTCCAACTCCCCAATTTTACACATGGGGAAACTGAGGCTCAGAGGTTCCTTGACTTGTCCAGGATCCCACTGCTAAAAAGTGTCTAAAAAAGAATTCCAGGTCAGGTTTTCTGCCCCAAATTTAGCACTTGCTTCACCACCACACCTAGAAGCCTCTTGTATTCACAGCTCTCATCCACCTGCTTTCACCTCACTCACCTGGATAACAGCTCCTTCGGCCTTCATACTCCAGGAGCCATGGTGCTTCCTTTTCCTCAAAATAAGAGATCAAATCTTCTCTGAGAACTGGCAGCCCTGGGCATGGGGAATCAGGGATGAGGGGAGAGAAAAACTAGTAATTCAGCTTCCTTTAGGGAAAAGAGTGTGCATACAAAGTTACTGCATTTTGAGAATCACTCCATCACATTCACACATATCTGACTTATTCTCCCATCAATGTCTGTAATGCAAGTAACCCAAAATAGGATCTACCCAATCAGCCTTGAGGAACCAGCTTTGGCCCTGTCCCCTACCCTGTTCCTCACTCCCTCAAACCTATAAACACCTTGTTACTGTTCATTCAGGCAGTGTTTGCCTCTTCTGGTGAGATTCTCCTCCTGGGGAACTCAATGAACTTTATTTAGTCCAAATTCTGATTCTTGGCCAGTCTGTTATTCCCCCCATTCACAGGGGCTTACAAACAAGGAGCAAAGGATGGTTCCCAGGACTCCTTAACCACGGTGTCCACAGCATTTAATTTTGGGAACTTTGGGGAGAGGTGGGGGAGAAGATCATGGAGACAAGTAGGAATTAGAAAATTTGGTCCTGGTGCACCTTCTTCTTAGAAGGATGGACTCCCTTCATAGTTATAATTATCTGTTTTTTGTTTTTGTTTTTTTGTTTTTTGCTGGGCATTGGGGTCAAGTGACTTGCCCAAGGTCACACAGCTAGTAAGTGTTATCTGTCTGAGGACAGATTTGAACTCAGGTCCTCCCGAATACAGGGCCGGTCCTCTATTGACTGTGCCACCTAGCTCTCCCCAGTTATAATTATCTGGAAAGGAGAGGCACCTGGAAGTCTGGCAGAGAGAACCCTGGGTCTGGAGTCAGAGAAGCCAGGGTTTAAATCCAGCCTCAGGCAGTTACTAGCTGTGTGCCTTTGGAAAAGTCACTTAACCTCTGTTTGTTTCAGTTTACTCAAATGTGAAATGGGGATAATAATATCACCTAAAGACATAATATTGTAAAGAAAGCACTTAGCACAACAGCTGGTGAACAGTAGGTGAATAGAAAGGCTTATTCCCTTTCTGTCTTTCCTACCATCTCTGTTGGAATGGGGGCACTGTAAAGGAAGATTCAGGACAAATCTGCCATAGCAGGCACATGTAGGAGCTGTGAGTTATAAATTCAGGCTTCTTAAGAAGGAAGTTCCATACAGTAGGGCCATCCCAAAGAGGAAGGGGTCACAAGGAAAACCCAGCTGGGCAGTTTCCAGAGACTTGGCAGACAAAATTCATGTCCAGGGAGAGGCTGGACTACATAATGTGGGATTACTTCCACATCTGAGATGCTTCAACACTGATCTGATCTTTCACCTCAAGCTACCTAGAACTGGCAAGAGACAGCTTTAGGAGCAACCAGGAAACCTCCAGGTTCTCTTCACACAGTGTACTGACCTTTTATAGGAAAACCAGGCAGCAGGGACCCTGTCTCTTGGACACAGGAGACCAGCACTTTTCCCTTTCAGTAATTATTAAACGCTCCAAACCCAGCCCACTCAGGAATGAAGACATTCCCTTGGATTGCAGACTCAGAGTGGCCAGGGGAAATGGTCTTACCCAGGGAGAGCAGGTTCTGGGCATTCTCCAGCATGACCTCCTTGTACAACTTCTTCTGAGGATGGTCCAAAAGGCCCCACTCCTCCTGGGTGAAGTCCACAGCCACATCCTTGAATGTCAACAGCTCCTAAACCATCAAAAGTCACAAGATTTACAGCTGAAAGGGGCTCCAGGATTCCTGTAGTCTAACCCTTATCATGTGAAAGGAGGAAACTGAGGCACAGTCAGGTGGGGTTACCCAAAGGTGGTACCCTTGAGGAGTTTCAGTTGGAATGAAGGTGAGGACAGTCTTACTATGGAAAGTCTCCCCGTGGAACCTGGGACAAAGTATGTGTTTTATCTGTGAGGTAGGAGGTTCTGTGGAAGAGACAGACAGAAGATCTGAAATTTCTGCCTTCTCACAACTGATAGAAGCAATGTAATAATAAAAAAAATTTGTGAAGAGTTTTTGAGAAGCTGTCAAGTACAGTGTATTCTGTGATGGTTGGGAGGATTTATGTGTGATTATTGATAAGACAGGAAAGAAAAAGAGAAGATTTAGTTTATTTCCTGAGAAGCTAAAACAAAAAGTTTTAGCTAGATAAACCAGGAAGTTGAATCTCTTCCATTTGTGGCTAAAAGGTGCCACAATGAAATGATATCAATACTAAACATATATTCACCAAATGGTATACCATCTAAGTTTTGAAAAGAGAACTTGAATGAATTGCAGGAGGAAATAATCAATAAAACTATACTAGTGGGGAACCTCAACCTTCCCCTCTCAGAACCAGATAAATCTAAAAAAAATTAAATAAACAAGAAAGAACTTAAGGAGGTAAATAAAATTAAGAAAAGTTAGATTGCTATACTTTGGAGAAAAGTGAATGAGAGTACTCATATGTTCTTCTCAGTAATACATGGCATTTGCACAAAAATTGCCCATGGTTTAGAGCATAAAAACACCACAATCAAATGTAGAGAAGGAGAAATATAAAAAGCATCCTATTCAGATCATAACATAATATAAAGTATATATATATAAAAGGCAGTGAAAAGAGAGAGATAAAATTAATTGGAAACTTATTCATCTAATCCTAAAGAATAAATGCATCCCAGAACAAATTATAGAAATAATTAATAGTTTAATTAAAGAGAATGAGAACAAGGAGACAATCTAACAACATTTATGGGATGTAGCCAATGCAGTAGTTGGGAGGAAATTTATATATCCAAACATATATATACATACTTAATTTTAGCCTTAGGCAAAGGCTGGGGGCTGGGATAACTGGGTGGCTGGGAAAGCTGGGGAAGAAGGAGGACAAAAAGATGAAAGTCAAAAGTCCAGGGCAGAGAACAAAAGAAAACTTACAAGGCAGCAAAAAAAAAAAAAAGATAGACAGCTCTGAACACAATGAGTAGTATTTACCATGTAGGTTTTACTGAAATGGAAATTTATTGCTGTATATTTTGAATCCTCTCTCATCTTCTGCTGTGCACATATCAATGCTTTTTTTCTTTCCTTATTTTGTATTTATTTAAAAATCTTTCAAAAATTATAAATAAAAATGCTCAAAACCACTAATAAGAGAAATGTAAACCAAAACAACACTGAGGTGAAAAGTAAACTCCCAGGCCTTTGAATGGTTCCCCAAACTGAGCCCTTTCCCTACATCCTCTCTAACAAGGGAAGTATGACTGTATCAAGGGTCTCCTTCAGCTTGTTTACTCAGAGTTCTGAATGATTTTCTGACTCCATCACACAGAATTGTCTGGCTTAATGAGAATAAAAAAGCAGCCTGATTCTGTTTGTTCTTGGGACAAACGTTCAGTTAAGGGGGAAACTGATTCTGTTTGTTTCTTTGGACCAAACCTTTGGGAAATAGTTGACAGTGTTTGGGACAGTGACCACCGAAATCAAGGGTTTGGAGTCTGAATCAGAGATCAGAAAAGGTCTTTATTCTTTCTCAGGAGAAAGGGCACAGCCTTTGTGGCTGCTCAAGCAGGGACAGCCAGGGAGTGGGCAGCTGGCTGTGAGAAGCAAAGTTTTATAGCCCTAACACATGCCCCCTCCCACTCTCTTATGTCTTTCCCCCATTGGCTGGGTACTCAAGGCATACAATTTAAACCCTACAACTAATACCCAATATTTGGGAACTAGCTGTACAGGTTCCCCAGGAAGCTGGAGCGACCAGGAATGGCCTGTGCTGACATGGATTTTTGAGAAAGGTGAAACTCAACTCAGGGCTTAGTCTGGAGGAAACTGCACTTTAGTAGTAGTACTACTGTTCTCAATTTCCTGCATATTTTTACAAAGAAACAATCCATAGTTAGGGGTGGGCCTCCTAGACAATCGGCTTTATTTCTGGAAATGGCCTCCTTGGCTTATATGGGTTAAGTCTGTGGGCAGAGTGCACTCACCTGGGCTGGGGGTCGGCAGCTCCCACAGGCCATTCCATCTGGCTCCAGGCTCCCTGCTAAGTCAGGCCTTGATCCTCTTGCACACTGAGCTGGGGAGGGAGAAGGATCCCAGGACAGGAGGCTGGCCTACAGGGATTTACAGGGGTGAAGCACTGCTCTCAGGGTGAGAGTGCAGCCTACAGTAAGTGTGAGACTTGGAAATGAGATGATCCCACCCTCTCCTATTCCTTGTCTTCTGTCCCCCTCCCCTCCCCCATTCTCTTTCAGAGACCCAGGAGGCAGAAGGGGCTTGGGATCCCAGATGGGATGAGACCAGGCAGAGTCTCAATGGCTCCTGAATCAGAGCTCTCCCTACATTTGATCCTCTGCCCTCCCTGCATCCCCTCTCCCCAACACACACGCGCACACACACACACACACACACACACACACACACACACACACACACACACACGCACACACATATACATATAGCCAGTATGTTTTTAACATGTAGCATGAGAAAGGAAATTTCATATTTGAACAGGTTGTAAATATAAGAGAAGAAACAAAGTGTCCATTGCAATTATAGTTCCAGGATATGTGTTTCTTCTGTAAGTATGTGCATAGGATACCAAGACAAGAAAAGTCCCATTCTTCCAGACAGTGTCTTGTCCCAGGCATCCTGTCCTTAGGGATCACAGACAGGAAGAGTGCTGGTCACCTCCAGCTGGTCCTGTAGTGGCTGACACAGGAAGCGGCATTCTTAGATCACTCAGAGAGCACAGCATGCAAAGCATTATGAGGCATAAAGCCCAGAGTGGGCCAAAACGTCTCTTCTGATTAGCCAATCCAGGTTTTAGGCCTTTCTCAGGTGTTGAAGTTAAAAATGATTTATGGAGGGGTCTACAATACACATATATACATATATACATATGCATACAAATATCTCTAAGTGCACTATGGTGCCACCTAGCCACCCCTAAGTGTTTGGGTGCTCTATAACAGTCAATGGTCAATAAGCATTTATCAGGTACGAAACTTGAGCCAGATATTGTGCTAAGGGCTGGGGCTTCAAAGACAAAAATGGAAGGCCAGTCCTTGCCCTCAAGGAACTTACTACCTGGTGGAAAAAGCCAGCAATCAAAAAATAGCTAAAAAGGCAGGGAGGGGGCAGAGAAGATGCTGTACACTTGGCATTCTCAGGAAGCAGGGAGAAGTCAGGTAGACAGCCCCAAAGCAGCAGAGCGAAGAGAGGAATGAGGACGTGGGAGTCACAGTCCATGGCCCCACCCCTATGGATGAGGGAGGACTGAGAAGGGAAAAGGTTTGGAAAAGCTTCTGTTAGGACTGAGTTAGAGAATCAATTACAATCAGTAAAAGGATGGCCTAACAGTGAGAGCTCATAGTATTAATAAATGCAATAAAGTGAAGAATTGTGACTCAGGACGGTTGGAAGGTGAGCACAATAACCGGGTAACTGCACCATAAGCTTGTAAACCAAACCAAAGCCAGGTTTATTCAATTTGATAGGACAGTGGCTCTCCCCCTCAAGGAGAATTCACATCACTCAGGGAGGAAAGCAGTGTTTTAAAGGGGCCACTGAGGAGTGGGACGGGAATGGGGTGAAAGTGACTTGAACAAGGTCTCTGTTGTTGGGTCTCCAGGCTTATCTGGTGAAACAATCCACTAACCCAGTTTCTGCATAACAGATTAGGGGAGATTCCTGCGACCCTCTGGTACAACTTAGGCTTGGAATTCCCCAGGGGTGACCGGGCACAGGGAGCCAGTGCCTGCGATGCGACAATGAAGCAGCCCAGCAGCTGGGGTACAGATAAGGGGGCCAGAGAGAAGCTGGGGGTCCGGAGAAGGGGTCCTGCATCCAAAGCGGGGTCCTCAGGGCAGGCAGAACTCTGGATCATTTTGGGGGCGCTGGAAGGGAGCACAACCCAAACCCTAAAGGCGGGCGGGCTCAAGGACCCAGAACACCCGTAGCCTTTGGTGGGCTGGAAGCAGGATTCCTGGGTCCCTCGGGCAAAGTGAGCCCCGATGGTGAACGTGCAGAGGGAGAAGGGGCGGGCAGTCTGGAGGTGTTGGGGGCGGGCAGCGGGGGCCGGTCAGCACAAGGGTCGAGGACTAGGGGGAGGAGGAGGGGGAAGAGGGGGGGGAGCCCGGAAGGCAGGGTAGCGGGCACAACGCACGGCCCCTGGGGCCAACCTACCTGGGACCTGCAAGCACAGAGCGCGGGCTGAGCTCTGCTCCACTTAGGGCAGGAAGAGGGAGCCCCGCCCAGCCAGGCTCCGCCCCGGCTTCTCCCCCCTCCCACGTTTCCTCGGGATCCAGCCGGTCACACCCACAACAGTGACCCGCCCACCCCCCTCGCCCCGCCCCCAAAGCTCCTCTAACAACGCCCATCTCCGGGGCCAACCGGGTCCCGGGGGAAACTGCGCATGCGGAACCAGGCCCAGCCCGGAAGAGTTTCCGGCGAGCTTCCCCAAGGCCTGGGACAAGGCCGAGGGGCGGGACCTCTCTGGAACTTCCCAGGTAAAGCCGCTTCCGGTTATGACCACCAACCTTCTCGGAAATGTAGTCTGGACTGCGGCTCTGGCCGGTATTCCGGGTCGATGGGCGGGGCGAGGCACACGTAGGGTCCGCCGCTGATTCCAGGTGGCTGTGCCAAAGGCGGGGCCAATGAGATGGGGCGGGACCATGGGCGAGTGGGGTAGGGAGGGGGGAGGATAGAGTAGGCGTTTTTTACTTGGATGAAGTTTCTTTGATGAAGGTTTGATTTCTCAAATATATACAGAACTGAGCCAAATTTATACGTTCTCTAGTTGATAAATGGTGAAAGTACATGAATAGGAATTTTTAGAGGATGAAATCTCAGATATTAATACTCATATAAAGAAATTATCTAAATCAGTAATAATTAGGGAAATGTAAATGAAAAAAACAAGTGAGGTTCCACCTCACTTCCATGAAATAGAGTAAGGTGGGAGAAACGGAAAATAAGAAATGCTGGTGGGGATGTGGGAAAGTAACAACAGTAATGCCTCATTGGTGAAGTTGTGAACTAGTCCATCCAGTCTGGAGAAAAATATGGATGTATGCCCAAAGGGCTATGTAACTTTACATGCCTTTTGACCCAGTAATGCTGTTACATGGTCTTTTCTAAAAAGGAGATAACAGGAAAAGGATCCATGAATACAAAAATATTTCTAGCAGCCCTTCTTGTAGTGGCAGAGAATTAGAAATGGAGGAGATGTCAATTGGGGAATGGCTGAATAAGTTATGGTATGAGAACATGACAATATATAATTATGCTGTAAGAAATGATGAAGGGAATGTTTAAAAAATATCTGGGAGGAACTATATGAATGTTGCAAAGTGAAGTGAGCAGAACCAGGAGAATAATGAAAACAGCAATATCAGAAAGAAAAAACAACTGCCAGGGGCTGTTTCATCTTTCTTTGTATCCTCAGCAGTTAGCATACCACCTGGCACACAGTAGGTGCTTAACAAAGGTTTATTGATTGATGCACAAATGCTTCTTGAATTAACGTGGTGAAGCCCCTAGCTCAAGAGAATCTGAGGCATTCTCTTCTTTTCTGCACCCCAAGATCTGCAATGTCAGCTCTAGTCAAGGAAGGAGGCCCTTTGGGAATCAAGGATGGGGTTTCTTGAGACTAAGATGGCTCAAAGATGTCACTTCCATGCATATTGTTCCAGGTGAGATTTTATACTTTTCATAATCAGAGGTCAGACAGTCCATGAGATAAAAATAGCTCCTACATTAGAAGCAAACTTGTAACCAAGCTTGTAAAGCCTTCTTCCCCAGGAGCATAGCTAACTCTGCCTTCCCATGGAGTTGCAATATCTCTGCCTTCTGGAAACTAGCTCTGCTGGTGCAGATCCCAGGAAGGTTGGACCCTGGGCCACACAGAATTCCTGGTATATGCTCACTGCCCTTTCCACCTAGTCTCTCTTCCCACTCCCTGCAACACCCCTTCACCTGCGGGAGGTCTTGGTTACTCAGTGAACCACTTCATCCTTTTAGAATTGGACACCCTTTTCTCAGCACCTTCTTCCCCAGGGCTCTTAAGATTATGTGACCTTGACAAAGAGAAGGTCCCAAGGCCTTCACTTGGTCAGTTCCCAAAGAACTTCAGAGATAATATTGAACTTCATACTGACTCATTGTGCCATTCTTCCCAGACCTGCTTGTCAGTCAGTGTTGGGGGAGGCATCAGGTAGTCTGCTCCTCATCACCTAGCCAGTCACCCTCTGCCTGTTTGCTCCTGGTAGCCCTCATGTCCTGGCAATAGGTGAGGAGCTGAGATGCAAAGGCCCATCCCATTTTACTGGTTCCATCTTCAATCCCTTGATGACCCAAAGTGATCAACCCCTCAGTGTTCTTCTAGCTTGACATAGGATAATAAAATCCTTTTAATTTTCTTTGTCCTGTGTTTTGCCTCCTTCATCAGGGTGAAAGAATGAATGTAGAATTTACAAGATCCTTTGTACTGTTCTCAAAGAGGAAATTACTATTCATCTTAAAACCAAATATGTCCAGTGAAATATGTAAGATTTTTTCCAACTCTGTAACCACTCTTACAACTTGATTCATAATTTCACAGCATTCTTATCAAAAGAAAATTTCATTTTCTGAGGTTAAAATTGTGTGTCCTTCTAGAAATCTTTTTTTTTCAAATAGAAGCATAAGTTATATGATGCTTTCCTCCATAACCCCAAATAAGAAAAATTTAAACATAGTAACATAAACAATGTTAGTTTTAATATATGAAACAAAGTTGTCAGTCACATAACAGAAGTTCAGTTGATTATTTTAGAATTATCTTAGATATAAAAGGCAGTTTATCCATTTATCCCTTTGACCCTAAATACCCTATAGACTGATTGCATTCACAGAGTACAATAGAGTAATTTTCATCCAGTTACATTTCGTTCTCATTCTTTCATCTCCTAAACACATCACCTTTTTAAATGCCAAATTTTAAGTGTATTTTACAATAAGAGTGGATCTGCCTTTAGGGTCAAACATCCCAATTATCCTCCTGGGATCTGATTTTAAATGAGCCCCATTCTAATATAAGTCAGGAGAAACCTGATACTTCAGCTGAGCCCCATTTTGTGAACTTCCTCCAGTTTGAAAATAAACTGTTTTGCTGTGAATCACTTGCTTGCCTGGAAATCTCCAGGTTGCCACTTCCTTGCTCTCCCCCTCCCACCTCCTGAAGTCCCGAATCTTTCCTCCAATAAGGAATCAGGTGGTAGAGTGATAAGGGAGGAGGAGCTCTCAGAGATGACCAGCCTGGTGGGTGGTGGCCCAGGTGGAATAAGAGCCCTGGGGTGGAGTTTGGAGGCCTGGGAGGAGCCTAGGGCAGGAGAGGGCTCATCTTAATGGCCAAGGCATTCCATGTGATGGAGGGCAGGGCTTAGGCAGGAAAGGCAGACTGGGTCTTGAGCTGCTGGCCCTGGGTGTGATTGGAAGAAAGGGTCCTTCCTGGAGACCTCAGAGGCTGGGAGGACCCTCCCAGAGTGGGCTGGCTGAAAACAGGAACTTGTGCTGAGACTGGGCTGCCTTCTTTCCTCGGAATTGAGATTTCTCTGCCTTCCTCCCTCGCAGCTGAGATTACCACTGCCTTCTCTTGGACCTGAGATCTCTGCCTTAAGATGCCATCGCTGTGGGTGCAGATCCCAGGTAGGTCTGAGCCAGCCCCTCACAAACCTGCTGCCTGTTCAGGCCATTGGCTGTCATCCTCTTCCTCTGACCCTGCAGTACGTATCCTCCAGCTCTGCCTGGTGCAGTCTTCCTGCTCAGGCCTGGCTACTGGACAAGCTCTGCATCTCTAACCCTTTCCAGACTCCCAATCACTTCCCAAATGCCTGGGTTCACCGTCCCCAGACTTACCATTGGGTCACCTTTTCCCAAATTCAGACTTTATAACCCAGGGACCCAGAAATCGTGCTTTACATCTTCCCATCAGGACTCAGTTATCCTGGCTCCCTGCCTGACAGTTGTGGTTAGAGATTGAGTTATTCTAACTTCAGACCAAGCCTCCAACTGCCCTCCCCAACCCCTGCTCATTCCTGGTGGCTCCTTTCTAAGCTTCCCTCCTACCTAGGTCAAGTAGTCAGTCTGTTCTCTAGATTATGTGGGTGTTAGTTGGGGAGAGGGGAAGCAGGGAGGGCAGAGGAGCAACTGGAGGAAGAGCTCTGATTCAGGAGCCATTGAGGTTCTCCCTGGTCTCATCCCATCTGGGATCCCAAGCCCCTTCTGCCTCCTGAGTCTCTGTGTAGGAGAATGGGAGAGAGAAAGGGGGCAGAAAGAAGGAGTAGGAGAAGGTGGGATCATCTCATTTCCAAGCCTGACCCTTCCTGTAGGCTGCACTCTTGCCCTGAGGGCAGTGCCTCACCCCTGTAAATCCCTGCAGGCCAGCCTCCTGCCCTGGGATCCTTCTCCCTCCCCAGCTCAGTGTGCAGAGGACCGAGGCCTGATCCACAAGGGAGCCTGAGCAGAGGGAATGGCCCCAGGGAGCCACAGACCCCCAGCCTGGTGAGTGCACTCTGCCCTCAGACTTGAGCCACATTAGCCAAGGAGGCCATTTCCAGAGACAAAGAAGATTGTCTAAGAGGCTGGTCATCCCCTATCTATGGATTGTTTCTTTACAAAAATAAGCAGGGAATTGAAAACAGTAGTAACAACACTGCCCTGCTGTCTCCTGTGTTTTGAACTGATTCTCTGCACTTTGGCATCACAAGCACTAACTACTACCCTTGCCCCATTGTAGTTACTGCCCTCCTGTGTTCATTTTTGAAGTTTTCTCTCTTGATCCCTGACTCACAAGGATGAGTACTTCAGTCATTCCTCTCTCTTCTGCAGGGGTCTTGTCTTTGCTCCCTTTATGCATGCCTAGCACCCCTCCGCCACTCATTGATAGAACTGCTCTCCCCTCCCTTTGCTTCTTTGGCCAAGCTCTCCCTGCTCTGCTTAACCTCCAGCTGCACCAACAGTTTATCTGTCTGGTGTACCCTGACTAGTCTTGTCTTGTAGCTGGTTTGACCCTCAAGGGCACACTGAGAGAGGGCAGTGAGGGTTGAAAAGACCAAATTCTATGAGCTGGGGCTGGGGGGTGTTCTGGCCTCCTGCATACTCTGGCCCACTGTTTCTTGAAAATATGGCAACTCCAGAAAACAGGTTAAGTTGTCTCCTGGGTCACATTCACATGTTCAAAGGTGCTTAGCAGAGCTTTTTGGAGGAGGCCAAAAGAAAGAGTACCTTCTTTGTCTGTTAATTGGCATTTGTGAAGGGCC